GCGACACCTTAAAGGCCGGTCCGTGAAAATATTGTCGGGCATGAACCGGTCCGTGGCGCGAAAAAGGTTGGGGACCGCTGGTCTACAGTACAGGGTTACAAAATCTTAGATCGGGGCTATAACTTCAATGGAATCGCAATAGCTAAGGCACAATACACCAAACATAGCTTTGGTTTTGTTTTCGTGTTTTTTGGTATTTTTATTTCTGCTATGGAAGTCATGAGGAAGGTCCTTCTGTTGATTTCAGGTGACATAAAGAAGACTCGATGAATCTTAGTGGTCTTACAAATATACCCGTAAACCTAATCAGGAATACTATTCTTTGCCTCTTGGTTACTACTCTTGCATCACATTCAGTCTGTTTGATGAGATTTTCCTTGTACACAAGGAAGTCCCCAACTGCTATCATTGCACTGCTGATACACTGAATTAAGATCCATATTTATGGAGCCCGATGCAAAGCATAGTTACAAACCCTCGCTGCCCCCATGTCCTTGTAACAGTTTCTGCATATGCAACAAACTGTATACTTGTTTGAAGGAGAACAATAAAGTGTGCGTGTGTGTGTGTGTGTGTGTGTGTGTGTGCGTGCGTGCGTGCGTGTGAATGTGTAGGTGTGTGTGTGTGTGTGTGTGCGCGCGTGTGTGAATGTGTAGGTGTGTGTCCACTGGGTGAGTCTGGAATATTTATAGCAAGGAACCAGTGCTTCGTAAGAATAGTAAATAAGACGTGTGTGTTTTTCTTACGCATGTTTGAAGTGTCATTTATTGACTCAGTTTGAACTAACCACTTTTAGGGCTACTCCCATCCACACTGTTTCTCTTTCCACACACACACACGCACACACAAAGTGGAAAGAAAATAAAACAAAAGAGAAGCTGATGAGTTGAGTGACATTTTATGCTTAAATATATGAAAATGTATGCAAAAGGAGCTAACCAGCATAATAAAGAGCTTAGTCAAAACATCCATCCATCATGTAGCATATCTCTCTTCATTTATTTATCAGCATGCAAAAAATATCTTAAAAAATATCACATTAGGCCACTTTCCACTGCAGAACCTTGCAGGGAAATCCAGTATATACTGCCTGCATATGTGTGTGTTCTTTGCACAGGAACCGAGGATGACATTTTTGGGATAGAAGTCATCTCTGCTATAAAAGCGGACACAAAGAGCCAGCAGCTTCACTGTTTTGGTGTTGGAAGTTAATGGCACCTACCTGCAGCAAGAAAGAGCAACCTTCAGTGGCTAAAATACTAAGCCAAAGCAGAAGCACTGCGAGAGATTGACTGAAAGCGAGTCAGTCCCCAAAGCCTGCCACATAAAACTAGCTCTTGTCTTTTATAACTTCTCACTTGTTTAAATTGTATCAAATTTATAATTTAGCTGAGTCTCTGTTGAGCTATAACATCAACTAGTTCAAACTGGATCTGTGGTGTCATTGTCTTTTGGAGCAAATACAATTATGTGACAAAGAAAAAACCTACATTGCTATGTGGTTAACTTTACTACCAGGCCACCCAAGAACATTACAGTATTTAAACTGTATGCTACCATAGCACAAAATAACAGGCATCCGCATCTCCAGACAATCGCAATTGAACATGGGTTGACTGAAATCAGTCAGGCAGATTGGTCAATGACTGGAACATGTTCCAATCAATCTGACTCAATGAGCACAAAACGTCTCTTTGCAACAGGGGACTTGACTCAATTGGATATATTTTGGTTATGTTTCAATTTAAAAGCAAGGCTGCAGAGCCGTCCTGCAGCAACAGAATTTATGAATGCTCAATTTATGAGTTGTAGGAGGTTCTGTCTTGTCTCTTTATTTCAGATTTTACATTTTTGCTCATTTATCACAGTTAATCATCCCATTATCACAAAAACATTGCATGTAACTGTTAGCTTGACCCCATTAAATCTCAAACTGTTTCCATCTTAATGCCGTTTTATCACCAGCTTAACACACAAAAGACGCTTTGAAGACAGACACTGACTGCAAGTGGTCACAGACCCGGTCCCCTGTCTTCGAAACAACTACTTCACTTCATCACAAGATCACAAGTTGTTGCACAAGTTGATCACAAGTACGCAATGTGCAACTGACTGTAGCATTACAAAGTTTATTAGCATTAACTATTAACTCCACCCTCATCTATATTCTAACTCCAAATAACCTCAACAGTGACCACTACAGTGTTAAAATCTAGGCATTAAAAATGCTAGTCTTCAAACAAATGGGTGGGGTCACAGTGGTTATGTACCAAGTTCCTGCTAAGGCTTCTATTATGAATGTGGTGTAGACAAACAAGATAATGCAACGTCCTGGAATAAAGATCCTTCTTATCAGTGTAAAGAAGTGAAGCAGCCTGAGTTCGATTACTTACTTCAATAGCATTGTTCAATACACCTATATTCTCTTATAAGTGCTGACAGTGTTTTCTAAACACTTTTTTAAAAAGTAGTAAAAAGAAAATCTTGAAATCTTAAAACTCAAAGGCCTCAAAGAGCTCAAAGAGAACATTTTCCAAAGTCATCATACCAGTGTACAGCTGTTCATTCATCCACGAGTAAACTCGCAGTGCAAGAATTTGGTTTCATGAAAAATGAACGTCTGTTTCACACGCAGTCATTGTAGGCGACTGGAAAACTGCTCCTACTGACGAGTAACCTCACATCACCTTCTACCCATTAGGAAAAACTAAACTTTTTCTCACCTATACAATCAGAGCTTTGTCCATTTTTGTGTTGTACACTTAATTGACCTCTACACAGGCATGGCAGGATGGCCTCACCTGCTGGACACCTCACACATTGGTACTGCATCAGATTACAGATATTGATGGCTGTAGCACCCCCGTGGCCGGAGCACAAATCATTATGGGCCATTCAGCCTGAAAGCAGTGTTGAGTAACATTACAAGAATTGCTCAATTACGGCCATCCCTGCTGATAAATATGGAAATTGATCTATTTCAATTCTCTGTATCATCCTCTTCACTTTCTTCCTAGAAGTGATTCAGGGTGGGGTTTTTTGTTTTTGTTATTTGTCTTCTTTAGTTTCTATCTAACTTTCATTTTGTCTCATCGTGTCTGTACATTAATCAAGTTTCACCAGATCTGACTTTGATTGCTTGATACCATCATTTTATTTTCTCAAGCGTGAAATCTTCTCCCTCCGAGTATAAGGATATATGATATATATTTTTCAATATTATTATTATTTATTATTTATATTTCCAAAGATGCTATATTCTTATGCTTTTTTTTTTAATATTTATGAGGGCAGGTTTGGTAGAAAGGCTCACAATCATGTTACACATTGCACTAAAAATGAGAGAACATCCTGTGTGATGTTTCCACACAGATTAATTATATACAAAAGAAATTCAATAGCAAAGGTATCTTCTATCCCTCTCAAATTATGCTTGGTCCAACAGAGACTGAAATGTTTGTAACATGTCCCTCCAATCTGTCAGGAAATCACATTTCTCAGAGCGATGAGCCAATCTTTGTATTTTTGTGTTGTACACAAATGAGCCGATCTTTCTATTGTGTTTGCTTTTGGCAACATTTAAGGAACCTGTTCCAACATTCAGCATGTAGAAGAACTCTGGTGGAAAACCCTACCTACCTAACACCTTACTTAGGTTAGCTTTCTTCCACTTGGAAATCTGGATATTTTACAAGAACTCCATCCCAGATTTCAAAGAGGCACTAGCCTAACTAAAGCTAAAAACTGCTCGTCTGAATCATAAGTCTGGAAAGTTTACTGCCCTGTATGAGCATATATTTAGCGCTTTAATAAAAAGAGATTGGAAAATGTATTTGAGCATTATTTTTACCCTTTTGATGTGTAAAATACATTGATTGTGTGCTGAATTATGGTAACAGCGAAACTGCATGTGTCCCTCTCTGCTCTCTTTCAGACAGCAGCTAAGAAGTCTAGCTGCCTCATTTCCCTTAACCCAGTGGAAAGAGTTGTGGTTAGTCAGGGGTTCCTATGTAGATGAAAAGGTAAGATATGAAACATGACTGAGCGCGAAAAAAAACAATACAATTAGAGAGTGAAAATAACCCTAGAGCTTAAACTAAGTTTACCCTGTACGATTTAAAAAAAGAGGTTTAAAGGTTTATTGAAACTTTTGATAAAGATAAAATAGTATCATCAGTTAAAGCAGATTAAAGCTCGATTTCTAGACAGCAGCCATGCGAAGCACATGACTTCATTTGACTTGATCTATAGCTTCAGCTTAAGAGAAAAATCCCAGTCTATCCTTAAAGTTTGTGGTGATTGTCACATGAGAGCACTTGAAGCTATAGAAACACACGTGATGGTAACAGTGCGTCGGCTGTTTTGCTATACTGTAATCCACTTTGTGTGTTTTTAGGGGAGAAAAAGACCTTTTGTGAACTAGTCTGTTTTATTTATGAGTTTAACTCATTATTGTACGGGAGGGTTTAGGCCATGTGGGGCACTCTGAAACCTGTAGGCATGCTGATGGTGTTTCCAACAGTCAACGGTTAAGCCCGAGTTACTCAGTGGATTAAATGCATCAAATATTTGATTTCTCTTACCTGGTAAAACTCCCTCAGCCATGTCTTCTGTAGATTTTCAAGCTGGAAACAGAAAAAAAGACAAAGAGTTAGCAACATAATACTTTAATACCAACGCTAAATGCGTAATACTTTATCTGAAAATAACAATAATACTAGTTGGTGACATTTCACTTGTCTGTGCACTAGATGAGAAGAGCCCTTCCCTTTTGGATCTGGTTCCTGCTCAGCATTTTCCTAAAGCGTCTTGCCAAACCTTTGACCTTTTTTATCGTTTCCTTCCCCAGTTAAATAAAAAATACTACAGGTCAGCTGAGTTTAAATAAACTCAATGTGCTCTTCTGAGGATGTTTTCAAAGACAGTGCAGTGTTGCGGGTCACAGACAAACCACAAGCAGACTATGTATGTAGTACATCAACCAACAAGGTGAAATGACTGCAATACAATCGCACATGAAAAATAAGGTAAAGATGAGTCGAGTACTCATCATGAGTATGCCGCATTTCACAATGACATTAACTTATGCTTTATATTAACATATTTGTATTCAAGTATGTACATGTTATGAAATCTGAAGATTACATATCTAAACTCAATGATGCACACGTTGAATGAGCAGATTTATCACTTGATTTGGATTTACTAATATCCAATCAAACCCCAGCTCTTTCACCATAAAGGTTACACTGAAACAAACCAGAGTATCCGTGTCAATAATCAACTGCTTACTTCTGTTGTCTTAACTATAAACTAAAAGTTTTTCTTTTACAGGCGTGGAAAGATCCCCTACACCAAATTTATTATATGTGTAAAAGATGTAGTGCATGCACTGAGAGGACCCTGCTTTAATCTACTTACAGCATCTTTCTCTCAGGGTCAAAAATCCTGACAGATCATCGACAAACCTCTCGCGCTTCTTCTTTTTCTCACCCCCCTTTGCTCTGCCTCTATCTGTCATTCTCTCTGTCTTCCACTTTAAAAGGTTATTCGCAGACCTGGACTTCATTTGGTTTGTGCAGTGGAAACAGAAACAGGGCCCTGGGCAG